GTTGAAAACAACAATCACATATTTTATATGAGCTGCCAGAACCATTACTGTGGCCAATGACACCAAATAGTGCGAAAATCAAATGAGGATACTCTCTTTGAACAGCAAATACAGTCTCTACTGGGAAAGCTCGTGTATGATCACCGGATTTGTCAAAATCTCCTTAGGCCACCGCAGGAAGCTTATACGCGGCCTTTGACGACCAAAATCTTCTCATGACCTCGTATTTTTTGGTGGGTCACGTCCTTCGAAGATTTTTTCAACCGTAGGTGGTGTGTGATTTTTTCAACCATAGATGGTGCAACATTGAGTTTGGCAACAAAAAAATCCATGCGTGCATCCAAGACTACTTTCGAAACTTTTGCACCGAAGGATCACCATGCACAACTTTGCCAGATAATTCACAAAGGCTACACATCCACTGCCACAAGCACAAATAGAAAGGACGATCGCCGTACAAAAGAATATACCACGGCAAGGAATATGCTCTCTCCAGTACGTGCGAGGCCACAGTGGTGATGTGTGGTACCCGGATGGCGATGGCGACCCCCGGCGATTCGTGAGCTAAGCCTATCCATGGAGGAGAGGAATGCGTGGGCAGTAAACCACTTCTTCTTCCTCGCCTCGCCTTGTTCTTCTTCTTCTTCCTCCTCGCGTCGCCCACCATTTCTAGGGCAGAGTGTTACGGAACGGACGAATCGATGGCGCGGAGGAGGAAATCTCAGTTTTGCCACGCCTGGATGCAGTGAGAAAGAGCTCCATCCTCTGTTTGGCCGCTAGCGCTTGGACTCATCTCCCTTCCGGGAAGGAATTCTTTTCCTTTTGTCCAAAATCGGCGAGAAAATGCGCCCCCGCGGGCGAGCGCTCTGTTCCTCCTGCCGCTCCTGCCGCCACTGCTGCTGCCGCGAATCGATCGGTCAAGGTATCTTTTCTATCCATCCAGATTCCAATGTAGGACGCGACCGTAGCTTCCTTCCACCAGGGCTTATATTTTTTCGTTTTGGATGCTGTTCTTGGCAGGGGGAGGAAGATGGTTGAATCGGGGATGAGAGATCGGCGCTGCTACATTGCCAGGGCTTGGATTTTGTCATGGGTTCCTCCTCGCCACAAAAGCCAGCATCGGCGGCGGCGGGGGCAGCAGTAGCTCCGCCACCAGCGCCGTCAAACTTTGGCGATTTCGTGCAGCGATTCGCATGGGCGTGCTTGCTCCGCCCGGGAGGAGTGAAGATGGCGCTCAAGGACGACGAGGATAGCGGCGGCGCTGAATCGTCGGAGTCCTCGGAGGATCAGTGGGTTAGCGGCGGCAAGGCTCGGAGCGGCGGCGGCGGCGCTGCTACTGGCGGTGGTGGCGGCGCCGCCAAGCTTAGCAGTAAGAGCAAGAGCAGCTCTTTCAAGGAGACCAAGGAGGAGGACAACGATCACGACTCCTTCCACGAGGCGGAGTGGGAGTCCACCGCGTCCGCGGCGACGTCCGCCGCGCGGATCCACGCCCTGGAGTCGGCCATCGGCGAGGTGTTTGCCACCGTCTCGGCGCTCAAGTCGGCCTACATCCAGCTCCAGGCGGCGCACTCGCCCTTCGATCCCGAGAAGCTCCGCCTGGCGGACAAGGCCGTCATCCAGGAGCTCCGCCGCCTCTCGGAGATGAAGCACGGCTTCCGCGACCAGCAGCGGTTGCGGGATTCGTCCTCGACGCTCCACCAGCACCTCCACCAGCACCACCACCACAATGGGCGGCAGCAGCAGAGCCTCGAGGAGCACAACGAGGAGCTCCGCCGGAAGATCCAGGAGCTGGCCACCGCCGCGGGGATCAAGCAGCGCGCCATGGAAACGTACGAGGCGAGAGTCCGCGCGTGTGAGGCGGAGATCGAGCAGCAGAGGCTGGAGATCGACGAGCTCAACGACAATCTCGCGCGCGCGGTGGCGCGGCGGGAGAAGCTGGAGCGCCGGCTACGCAAGTGTGAGCAGCGATCGTCCGCCAATCACCACCACCACCACCACCATCGCCAGGGGATTGGATTGAGCTCCTCCGGAGGATCGCCATCGATCCTCGAGGGCAGCGGCGGTGGCGGGGGGCTCCTCAGCTCCATCGACGCATCGCCCACGCCCCAGATCTTCGAGGTGGCGGTCCAGAATGCGCGGGAATCGGCGCTCGCGTTCAGCAAGCTTCTGGTGAGCCTGATGCGCGGCGTGCAGTGGGATCTGGAGGCGGCGGCGGAGTCGATCGAGGCGGGGATCGGCTACGCCCGCCCCGCCCACCGCCGATTCGCCTTCGAGTCCTACGTGTGCCACCGGATCTTCTGCGGCTTCGAGAACGAGAACTTCTACATCAATGGCAGCCTCTCCTCCATCCTCGACCCCGTAAAGCACCGCGCCGAGTGCTTCCGCCAGTTCCGGGACATGCGCGCCGTCGATCCCGCGGATCTGCTGGGCATTACGCCGGAATGCCTGTTTGGGAAATTCTGCCACAGAAAGTACCTCCAGATCGTGCACGAGAAGATGGAGGAGAGCTTCTTTGGCGGGTTTGAGCAGCACCGCGACGTGATTCTGGACGGGGGCCATCCACGGACGAGATTCTACCAGAGCTTCCTGCGCTTCGCCAAGGCGGTGTGGCTCGTCCATCGCCTCGCGTTTTCGTTCGAGCCGACGGCCACGATCTTCCAGGTGAAGAGAGGTACCGAGTTCGATCCCGCCTTCATGGAGAGCGCCGCGAGGAATGTGAGGATGAGTGATGACGACGATGGCGTGAGGCCGCGCGTGGGTTTCACTGTCATGCCGGGTTTTCGTGTCGATAAGTGGATTGTCAAGTGCCATGTCTACCTGGATGGCATGGTCGCCTCCGAGGATTGACGAGAGATCTTTCTTTTGACTAGAAATCTAGCTGCGATCACGATCAAAGTTTTATAGAAGATCAAGAAATCTCTATGGAGTGGAGATATTTGCAACAGTGGATTTTCGATAAGTACATAGACACAAGTTTTATACAAATCTGGACAATGTCTAAAGAATTTTATCGCTCGAGCTTTGGATTTTCGGTTAAGTCTGCGGACATCCAAGGTGTGTATCTCTCGAACTTTGCCTTTGGCGTTTTCTTTGATATTTTTCTTTCATGGCTGGCTGTGTGCGTTCCATAAAGCTCCTGGCAGAAGTGGCACATGCCCCGTTTATTTTTGCTCGCGCAGACTTCAACGCTTGCCTGCTAAAAGTGCCAAGTGTTTTTCGCGTCATTGATTTCACGGAGCAAGCCGACAGACGCCAACTTCTCAGGCGTCGTTTGCTTCTGCTGTTCTCGTCTGCGAGAGGTCGTCTCTTTTCCTAGAATCGACACAAGAATTCATTAGCCTGTTGGAAAACAGTAGTAATAAGCATGACCTGTGGAGTAGCAGCAGCAGTAGTAGCAGCAGCAGGCACGGGAGAGGCTGTTACACCTGTTACAAAACCAGAAAACACGCCTCTGCCTCGTCGCATAAACTCGATCAGGAAAAAATGAAGAAAAAGGAATTTGGATCACTACATACTTGGAAGCTGGAGTGATGAGCTACACAAGTGTCTGGTGATGATGAAGATGAAGCTCAGGAAACATAGATAGTTATCTGTAGACGTCCCAAAAGCAAGCAGATAGTTTGGAGCAGAAAGACTATGGCGGGCGAGGCAGAGGCGAGATGAATTTGCAGATAACTTTCAGAAGTTTGCAGATCATGACGAGGAGGCAGTAGAATTGGAGATGAATAACGAGGAAGCAGACGTGCAGAACTCGTCATACCTCGGAGCACAAAGACCAAATGAGTTTATCTCGAAACGAGAAAAGAAAGAAAAAACCGTAAACATACAACTTAGTTCTTACATGAAATCCACAAGGAAGAGATAACTTAACCCACAGCAGCAGCCTCCCCTCGTCCCGTTGTTTTTCGCAAAAGTTCTCAGTTGTAAGGACTGCGGCTGCGGCTCCGGCTACGCCTGTACCTGGGAGCTGGACTCCTGCCAAGAACAAAACATGCAAAAAAAAAAAAAAAAAAACCGAGTTTGCTTTGCAATGCGAAGAACAGAAAACATACCCATTGAGCGCTGGAGGTCCCCTCTCTCTCCTGGGAGGTGGAGACCGGCTTAAGCTGTTGTAGCGACGAGCGGGAGGTGGTGGCGATCGACTGTAACTGTAACGACGACGAGCTGTTGGTGATATACTACGCCTCGGAGGACTGCGACTGTGTTATGCATTAGAGCATAAACAGTGAAGGTCTCAAAGGAAAAAAGCAAGAAAAGAGAAAGGGGAGGAGAAGAGTGGCGTACCCTCGTCCATAGCTGGGACTACGACGATATCGTGGTGGCGGACTCCGGCTCCTCCGTCGGCCCCCTCCTTTTCCCATTCCAGCAGCGCCAACGCGAAGAACGCACTCCCGCGCAAAATGTCCAGCCTCGCCACACTCGTAGCACTTTAGCTCGTCGCCGCCGCCGCCGCGGCCTTCGCGAGCTCCCGGATCCCTTCCACCACCGCGGCCACCGTTTGAGCTCCGCGATAGTTCTACTCGCCATCCATTTTTCCCTGGAAGTTCAAAAGAAGAAAAATGAGATTTTTTGCGGTTTTTTCTTGAGGAACTTTACCATTCATGTTTTGAATCGCGTCCTGGGCATCGCGGTAATCGTCGAACTCTATGAACGCGAAGCCCGGAGGCTTCCGGGCTACCCACACACTGCCAGCAAAATCGAGCCCCAGATTTGGATTCTTTGGCGCTGGAAAAAGGACGAGAGGAGAATCGATTTGCGCGTGGCTTACCTTCGCAGCACGCCGAAGCTCCGGAACTCGTCCTCGAGCTCCCGCTCCGTCGATCGCGGATCCAGATTGCCGACGTAGACGCGCGCCATGGACAAGCCGCTGAAGAAACCCTAGTTAGGGTTCTTCAGTAATGCTTAATGAAAAAGAAAAAAGTGAAAATTTTCTTATCCATCACGTCCACCTCGCAGATAAGCTCAAAAATCGCGCTTTCGTACTTTTCTTCTTGGTGTGTGCCCTAACGGCGTCGTTACGAAGAACAGTGAGGCCATCGCAGCCGGGCAATGCCGCTGCCGCGCCGCCGCGATCGCGCCAGTGCCATCGGCTGGGCTGGGAAATGCGTAATCTCCAGCTCCACAGCTAGAGCGCCTCTCGAATGCCTAGGGTTTTAAGGTTGCTCCATCGGCAGAGCACAGCGCGCAGCTGCCGATGACGCCTGGGTGAGGTACTGCGGGGGATTCAAGCTGATCGGGCCCTATTTCGCGTTTCCAGTGCACAGACTCTCATCGCTGAGCGATTCGTCTCATCAGAATCCCCATAGGTACTACTCTTGATCAGATCGGCAGCATCCAGGTGTGGCCAGCTCCTGGCATTGATCGCTGGAACGCGTTTTGCTTCCATCGCAATTTTCGAAAGGTACACCCGATTTTTTTACCTCATCGGTGGTTCCTCTGGTTTTGTATCAGCGGATCACAAAGAGATCATGGTCTCCAGATCGTATTCCAACCTTCTCGATCTCTCCGGGGAGTACCCGACTTTCATGCGCAGTGGAAGCAGCAGGCGGATGTCCAGAGTAATGACGGTGCCTGGGATGTGCTCCGAGAGCAGGGAGGAAGAGTCGGTTGCCAACCTCACCCCGGGAGAGAACGTATCGTCCTCGATCTCTCAGGACAGGGCCATCATCGTGTCAAACGTTTTGCCCCTCCACGCTAGCAGGCGTCCGGATAATCTGTCTTGGGTTTTCAGCTGGGACGAGGACTCTCTCCTTCTCAGGCTGAAAGACGGTCTGCCGGAAGACATGGAAGTTCTATACGTCGGCTGCTTGTCCGTGGACGTGGAACTCAGCGAACAGGATGAGGTAGCAGCGTATCTTCTCGACAACTTCAACTGCGTCCCGACTTTCATTCCACCGGATCTGAGGAACAGGTACTACATTGGGTTCTGCAAGCAGCAGCTGTGGCCTCTCTTCCACTACACTCTGCCGCTGACCCCGGAGCACGGTGGACGATTTGATCGACCACTGTGGCAGGCCTACCTTTCTGTGAACAAGCTGTTTGCGGACAAGGTGATGGAGATCATCAGCCCGGACGAGGATTACGTGTGGGTTCACGACTACCATCTCATGGTGCTGCCGACCTTTCTCAGAAAGAGGTTCAACAGGATAAGGCTCGGGTTTTTCTTACACAGTCCGTTTCCTTCGTCGGAGATATACAGGACTCTTCCGGTTCGGGAACATATACTGAGAGCGCTCCTCAACGCTGATTTGATTGGCTTCCACACCTTCGACTATGCGCGGCATTTTCTTTCGTGCTGTAGCAGGATGTTGGGACTGAATTACGAATCTAAGCGGGGCTACATCGGGCTAGAATATTATGGACGCACAGTTGGGATCAAAATAATGCCGGTCGGGATTCATATGGGTCAGCTTGAAGCAGGCTTGATTCGCAGTGACACGGAATTGCGTATAGCAGATCTGAAAGCACAGTACCAAGGCAAGGTTGTGCTACTTGGTGTGGACGACATGGATATGTTCAAGGGGATTGGACTTAAGTTCCTGGCGATGGAGCAGCTTTTGAATCAGAGGCCGGAATGGAGAGGCAAGGTGGTGATGATACAGATTGCAAATCCAGCCAGGGGCCGTGGCAAAGATGTTCTTGAGGTGCAGCACGAGGCCTACTCAGTGGCGAAGAGGATCAACCAGGCCTACGGAAGGGATGGATACCAGCCCGTGGTTCTACTGGAGAGACACGTTCCATTCCCGGAAAGGATCGCTTACTACACCATTGCGGAGTGCTGCGTGGTGACTGCTGTGCGGGATGGTATGAATCTCATTCCGTACGAGTATATAGTGTGCCGGCAAGGCAGCAGCGCTGCCTCGAATGGCACGGAGGGGGAGTCGCTGAAGAAGAGCATGCTCGTCGTATCAGAGTTCATTGGCTGCTCACCATCGCTGAGCGGCGCGATCCGGGTCAATCCTTGGAACATCGAAGCGGTTGCGGAAGCGATGATCATGGCTATAAGCATTCCAGAGTCAGAGAAGCATGCCAGGCACGAGAAGCACTACAAATACGTGAGCTCCCACGACGTAGCATACTGGTCGCAGAGTTTCATGGGAGACTTGGAAAGAACCTGCAGTGGACACACGCGAAGGCGATGCTATGGGATTGGCTTTGGCCTGGGATTCAGAGTGGTGGCGCTGGATCCCAACTTTAGGAAGCTGTCTATGGAGCATATAGTGTCCGCGTACCGAAGGAGCAAGAGCAGGGCCATTTTACTGGATTACGACGGAACCATGATGCCTCAAGCGTCAATAAACAAGACCCCCAGTCCGGAAGTTCTACTGGTGCTGAACTCCTTGTGTAGCAATCCCAAGAACATCGTCTTCATTGTGAGCGGTCGCGACAGGCAAATACTGAGCAACTGGTTCTCGCCCTGTGAGAAGCTCGGCCTGGCCGCCGAGCACGGATATTTCTATCGGTACGTGATACTACTTCACTACATTGATAACGTCATGGTTCTTTTCTATGCATGCAGGTGGATAAGAGATTCAGATTGGCAGACTCTCGTCCCGGTCGTGGATTTTGAATGGAAGCAAGTGGCTACTCCGGTCATGAAGCTATACACGGAAAGCACAGACGGTTCGTGCATCGAGTCGAAAGAAAGCGCTCTCGTCTGGCACTACGGCGATGCGGATCCAGATTTTGGATCGTGGCAGGCAAAGGAGCTACATGACCATCTTGAGAGCGTGCTTGCAAACGATCCAGTCTCGGTAAAGAGCGGGCAGCACATAGTGGAAGTGAAACCACAGGTAGAACTTTCTCTCTACAGAATGTTCATTTTAATGGTATCCTTGGTGCTTGCAGGGTGTAAGCAAGGGCGTGGTTGTCGACAAGCTTTTGGCTTCCATGGCAAGCAAAGGAACGCCAATCGACTTCATTGTGTGCGTTGGGGACGATAGATCAGACGAAGACATGTTTGAGACGATCGACACGGCGGTGGCATCACCTCCGCTTTCGTCTAATACGGAGATATTTGCCTGCACGGTTGGGCAGAAGCCCAGCAAAGCAAAGTACTACCTCGACGACACTGCGGACGTGATCAAGATGTTACAGGTCTTGTCCACTGCGCATGATCCATGAAGAACGCGGCCAATGGAATCCAGCCAACGGAGAAAGCTCAAAGGAAAAGCCAAACGAGCAAAGCAAGCGATGTTATCAGGCAAGTCACTTTTCTCAATGTGCGAGAAACCAAACTTCTCTTTCAATTGCAGTGAAGTCTGCCACAACAATGCATGAATTGATATGATTCAGGTGCATCTCTTGTTTGCTTTCAAGTCAAATATGAAAATGAGAGTGTCATGGTGTTTGCAGAAAATATACCAAATCGATTACGTCATTGACAAAACTTAAGGAGAAAAAAGTGTGATAGCTCTCAGGGGATATGCCATGCCCCAACGACCACCAGGAAGATAATAAACGAAACTGTGAGCTCATACCATGTGACGCAATCGTGACTGCAAAGCGGCAGCTCTCTTTCTCCTCCGAAATCGCCAATAGATCACTGCTAAAAGCGCGAACCAAGCTAGAGGTATCAACCACCTGCAATGCAAAAGCAAAAGAGAAGCGAAAAAACTCTTTAGTTTTGAGCTCTACTAGTTGGAGTTCGCGAAGAGATCTCTTACCTGTCCATGTCTAAGATTGGGCTATAAACTGTCGTCTCCCAGACTGCCACAATCGTTTGCCACACTGGATTGTAATACAGCAGCTCCGCCGACCAGAAAATCCTCGTGTAAGTCTCCAAGAACACGAACAGTCCCCATGCGGCCACTTCGAGCAGTAAGAACTTCACGACGAAGCGGCCAACGACCACCATGACGAGCGAGAAAACCACGAGCCAGTTGAAGAGCTTCTGGTTATAGTTGTCGACGAAGTGAGATTTCGTCCTTAGCATCATCTGGAAACGGGAGTTAGCGAGGTTGATCGTGCTGACAAATCAGTGAGAGTTACCTTTGACAGCCTCTCGCGATAGGATGGTTTGGAAGGACCCATACAGCTAAGCTCGAACGTCTGGTTACACTCTTTCAAGCCGGCTGTGAACTTTGCCATTGAAGGCAGCCGCAAGTCTTGCATCTCTTCAATCTTGTTTTCGCATAGAGTGTAGTGCCGGTCACATTTCTTCGAGGATGCGTAGTCGTTATCGGTTTTTAATAGAGCATAAGCCTGACAAGAGCAAAGTTGTGGTCACCACCTCAAACAAAAATTCGTTTTGCTTACCTTACTTAGTTCACTTTCCATCAGATGGAGGGCTCCGTCGCCGCGGCGCCTACCAAATCGCGCCTTATCGAACATCAACATAACTTTGGCAGCTGTCGTTTGATGAAAATCTTCAACCGACTGTTCCGGCATCGGCAACTTGAGCTTTGAAAGATCCTCGTTGTAAGCTTTCATGCATCGGTCGATGACCACTCGATTGAACGAGTCAACAACAGAGCCTGCAGAAGGAAATTCTCCTTCGTTCAAAGCTTCCAGCGTCTGCAGGAATATTGCAACGTTTCACAGGTAAATAAGGAAGTGAACACAAACCTGCTCGAGAAAAGCTGCAAACTCCTTGCCAGTTACTGTTTTCCCTTGCACCACCTTAGGCCGTATCATGGAACGCAAGAGTTCCTTTAGGCTCTCACGCTGTTTGATGTATTCTGGATCAAGATCGGAGTCGTCCATCTCACATAGTTTGGTGCGATGAAGGTGAGGCTATCATCACAGCCTGTCAGAATAGAAATCAGCGACTATAGGAAAGACTCTAAACGTAATTACCTGCGGTAAGCCAAATGCTGTGCTGTTTTGTGCCATCAAACTCAAAGACTCTCTAATGCGATTGACCTGATTGAAGATAGAATATTTCGACGTCACGAAACATGAAACTCTATCATACCTGATCAATGTCTTTGTCTCCTGAATTCAAAGGTCGAATGTCAGTACTAAATTTGCACATCACAGAAGAACATACCGGTGGGATTAACAACCGGTTGAAGAGCCTCCCTCACCATTTCTTGTACAGTTTTTCCCTCTATCATAAACAAATGTAAGAGCCAGAAACGACCCCTAGCATCTAGAAAACATACCAAGGAAATCTCGCTGAATGAGCCAAAGAAGTTTTGACGGTTCGAACGAGGCTGCATGTCCCTAGAGCACAAAAGACATCTGAGAAACTGTCATCCGTCAAGTGTACTGTACCTTCACACTGTAAACATCGAGAACCAAAAAGTGTGAGTCTAAACATAAGTCTTGGAGAAACAACGCACCGGCCATAAAACTCCTCGCCCAATTCCACTGCAAAAGAAAGTTTGGAGATGTCTGCTTCCCTGACCTGTACATAAAAAAAACCAAGTCAATTCCGAAAAGAAAATGACTAAGTACCGTCTCCGGAAGGTTGTAAATAAGAACTGAGCTAAGTAATGCTGCTAGAGCGAAAATCCTAGAATACTAGAGTTAGAAGGCTGGACAATCCAACACGAAAGGTTTTCACCTGTCATCGTAGACATTTGATTTTCCTATGCTTTCGAATCCCTCCGTATCCATAAAGAGGACAGACGTGACCGAGTTGCCAATTGTCAACTCCATGGGTTCTCCCCATAGCCAGATGCCTGTGTGAGTATATTGTCAGCGTTGTAGGCCAGGCGAAAGCAATGTAAAACCTACCGCGAGTCTGCGTGTCTCGCAAGTGTCCAACTCCAAATCCTTGTATTCACAATGAAAACAATTTGGCACCAAGGAACCTTCGAAGTGACATAGCTTACCTTCATTGCAAGTGAGAGATAGAAGCTGGTTTAGAAGAAATGATTTTCCCGATCGATAGGGACCTATGACCTGCGTGACAGCAAAGAAAAAGAGATCCATAACGAGCATAGATTCGTGCTTGCTCACGCACTACGCACCGCAACCACGGAAATTGGATTCTTTATGCTTGAGATGAGCTCCAGTCCTTGTTTCGAGATTGCGAGCTTTGTGTGACCCGGATCTGGCTCCACGACGGGGAAGCTGGAGCGCAAAAAAGAGCCCGAAATTTCGATCGAAGCACACAGAGAAGAGATAAACGTACGCTTGATGCGAGAGGATCTCCAGAGGCCGCGCCCGGTCTAGACCTAGAAGCAAGATCCAGAGTGAAAGAAGCCGCAGAAGCAATCCCATCGGCTGCTCGCCCTCGTCGCGGGCCTGCATTGACAGCATTTGAATCAGCTCCATGGCGCTAGGGCGCGCGCTTATCGATGCCGCTTACCTCGCCCACCACAACCAGTCACAAGGAACGGAGGTCAATGAAGAGAACCCGTACGGAAGGCCTCTATGACATGTCCACGTCAGCTGCCACAGCGTGCTTGACTTTTGCAGCTACGTCAGCTTTTTGTCGACGTGTCACGCGTTTTTGGTTGCTTTCGTGGCAGGGTTTTACGACCACGTCGGTGGGTGTGTTTTAAAGCCGGACTTGAAATGCGGGCCTCCAACGCGATTGAGGATTTCGTATTTTCCTTTTCTTCTCTGTGTGTTGACCATAGCCGCCGTTGAAAGTTCTCACTCGTGAGGGTTTCGTGCGCTTCTACAGGCGGCCGCGTTGGACCAGGACGCATTCGATCGCCGGGTAGGTCTTCTCGCATTCGCGGTGGCGGAGCTCGAATTTGGAGCACTGGTCACCGAATCCAGCCGGCGGGCAGTGGTTTCGCGAGAGATCTCGCGCCTCCTCTCGGTTGTTAGGTCGGGATTGGATGGATTGGAGGCCTGGGGAATTCCGGGACGACAAATGCGAGCTACCTAGCCATAGGAATTTGGTCGATTAGAGGCGTGGCATCTGGGAATTGCTAGAGATGGCAGCGGCGACCAGATGATGCCAGATTTGGGAAGAGGAATTTAGGCTCCTGGATAGACACACAGGGTTTTTGGTATCCAATTTCTCTCTACAATGGCACAGGAGAAAACCTCGGCTTATTTCACAGCTAGTGAGGCGGTCGAGTCACTAGGAAAAGGATTCGATGTGACTTTGGATCTTAGGCTTGCTGGATGCAAGGGCCCATCCGGGCGCCTCGTAGAGCTCGACGAGACAAGCCATGAAAACCTCTACGTCCAGGACCGGGTCGTCATTCCCAATGTTTCCAAAGACATAAGATGTGACAAGGGGGAGTTTACGCATTTTCGGTCTGAAGTGCTTACATTTCACCAGGCAAGCTCACGCTGAGACACATACTTTTTTTTGTTTCTCTTTGCTTTCTCGGTTGCTTACGAGCATTGCTGTTGCTGGTCTTTGCAGATGTCGGAGCGATTCAACCAAGAACTTTCTATCACCGGGAAAATGCCACTCGGGCTTTTCAATACCATGTACAGTTTCAATGGGCCCTGGCAGGCTGATGCCTCGACTACGAAAAGTCTCGCACTCGATGGCCGGTTTATAACATCTTATAAGCTGCAAATTGTCAAGAGTCCGTTGGTTTTGCGCGAGGAGGTGAAGAAGGCAGTCCCAGCGTCTTGGGATCCTGCTGCATTGGCCAAGTAAGCGATCTCGTCTTTCATCTCTTGTTTGGTAAGGAATTTTCTGACTGTGCGACACATACAAGGTTCATAGATACGTACGGGACGCACATTATTGTCAGTATCAAAGTAGGAGGTAAAGACGTTGTTTATGTCCGGCAACACCAGTCCTCACCGCTGTCGCCAACGGAGCTTCAAAAGTTTATCAAACGAATCGCCGATCAAAAGTTTGCCGAGACAAATGGCCCCGTCAGTGATTCCAGAAATATAAAGGACAAGGTACGGTTGCTGCAATGTTTCAGCAGGACAAAAACATAATTTTTGTCGCGCTCTTTCAGATGCAGACGTCGGACTTGCTCGCAGGTTCCAACCATGCTCACCGCTTGCAGCTAGAGACGCTTGCGTCGTCTGGTAGTTTTACAGCGAAGGAGGTAATGCAGCTCTTGGTTTTCCTCCTCATCTGCTCAGCTTTTTTGTTACACTGCAGGACGTTGAAATCATTTTTCGGCGAAGAGGTGGTAGCAATCTTCTGAAAAGTCACAACGAGTGGCTTAAGACTGTGGCTGATGCTCCTGATGTCATATCCATGACCTTCGTTCCCATTACGTCTCTGCTAAACGGAGTACTTGGGAGTGGATTTTTGAGCCATGCGGTGAACCTTTACCTACGTCGTAAGTCTTGCTTGTTGATGACTTTGATCGTTTTTTTTCTAAACATCAGTCACACAGATAAACCTCCCATCGAGGATTTACAGTACTTCTTGGAGTTCCAAATTCCTAGACAATGGTCACCGGGCTTTGATCTTCCTCTCGGGCCTCAAAGGAAAGAACCCGTGTGTCCGGCAATGCAATTCAGTTTGATGGGTCCAAAGCTGTATGTTAGTAGCGCGCAGGTCAGTTTACATACGGTGCTTTCTCTTGCTCGTTTACAAGCGTTTACGTGTGTTCTCAGGTGACAATAGGAAGAAGACCCGTTACAGGACTACGGCTTTTCTTGGAAGGCAAGAAATGCAACAGACTGGGCATTCACTTGCAACACCTCTCGAGCCTTCCAAAGATCCTACAACCGCACTGGGACTCAAACGTCCCGATCGGGCCGCCGGTGTGGAAGGGCCCCGAGGAGCAAGACAGCAAGTGGTTCGAGCCGGTGCAATGGAAGAGCTTCTCTCACGTGAGCACGCAACCGGTGGAGTTCCTCGAGGAGTCCTACGTAGGCCAGACATCCGGCACCTACATTGTCACCGGCGCACAGCTCGGAGTCTGGGACTTTGGCATGAAGAAGGTACTCTTCCTGCGGCTCCTCTTCTCCAGAGTCCCCGGCTGCGCCATCCGGAGAACAGTCTGGGATCACTCGCCAACGACGTCGCAAAAGTCCGGCCTCTTCTCGCAGCTCGGGCTGAGCTCTACGTTCTCGGGCGCTCAAAAGGCCAAGCCGGCCCCGGTGGTGCTCAACTCGGCCGTGTACCCGGGCGGTCCGCCGGTGCCGGTTCCAAGCCCGAAGCTCCTCAAGTACGTGGACATAACCGAGATGACCAAGGGAGCCCACGACATGCCGGGCCATTGGATAGTAACCGGCGCGAAGCTGGACGTGGACAGGGGCCGGATAGCGCTACGCTTGAAGTACTCGGTGCTGCATTATTGATGTATAATTGGAATCGCGCGCGCGGCTTGATCATCCCTATCCCCTTCTTTTGACGCAAAGTTGGCGATCTTCTTCGTTCGTTACCTTGTGAAAAAAATTCTCGCATCAAAACGTTGTATTTAGTATTGATACAATATAGTTGTTATTGTTTGCGCACACGCATTGATGGATGGAAGCTTGGACGACCGTGAATCACGATAATGGTGGGGAAAGGGATAAAGGATCCTTAAACCTAACCAGCGCACGTGGAAATTGGGATGCTGGAGCCCTAAGGGATATGCGGCTCTTTCGTACGTCGGTACGGTAGGACACACACAAGCGCAAGCGCTGCGACGGAGCGAGCGAGCATGGGAAATGGGGGTTTTGCGCCCCGGCGCCACGCCAATCCTCGGCATTCTCACCTCTCTCTCGGCGCGATGTAAGCTCTCTCTCGATTCTTTGCTCTCGATTTCACAGTTTTCTCCTCTTCTCTGCTAGAATCCGGCGGCGCAGCTCCGATATTTTGATCTAGTTCTTGCGCGATCGGCATGGGTGTGGCGCTCGCGCCGCACAAGAATCCGCAGCAGCAGCAGCAGCAGCATCCAGCGCCGGCGGAGCCGCAGCAAGACTGCGCGAGGCTTGCATGCTGTCGCCGCCCCTCCTCGATCCCTTCCTCGTCCTCCAAGGAGAACAGCCGGCCGAATCAGGAGCTCGAGCGCAGCGCCAGGGCTCCCCAATCTTCGGCGTCGTCGTCGCCCGCGGCGGCGGCGATGCCGGTCACGGCGATCAAGAATCACAAAAAGAAGAAGAAGAAAAAGCCGCAGCATGCAACAGTGGCGCCGCCGGCTGGATCGTCGTCACCGCCAGCGTCATCCTCGTCGTGGATCGAAGAGGAGGAATTCGTGTCTCTGCTCAAGGCCCAGGATTTGCAGCCCACCGTGGAGGCGCTTCGCTGCTCCTGCGCCGCGAGCTCGCAGCACCAGGATCTGGCCGAGATCGACAAGGTTCTCGAGGTAGTGGCGCCGAAAGTCTTGTCCACTTCGTGCGCTAGGAATCCACCACCTTGCGTGTGCCGGCTCAAGAACCCGGGGCGTTTGCGGAAGCTCTCGCTCCAATCCGTGTGGGACTGGTTCGAGGAGCCCAGCATCTGTGGGATCCAGGTGAAATCGTGCGGAGAAGGCGACGATCGCTTCGATGCTTACCTGGTGCCTTACATCTCCGCCATCCGGCTGTTTGGGAACCGATCCGACGAGACCGTGCCGCTTCTCTTCGAGTTTTACGAGACCGAGCAGCTCACGCTCCGGCTTCCACTCCACCACAGGTAAAGCTCTTTTCTTTTGCGTTTTTATCGGACTTTAGCTTTGTCTCTAGAATCCAGGAACTTCTCAAGGAAAATCCCAGCTCTTGCATCATCAATGGCGACCCTACACTTCTCGAGCGGTGCTCGTTGCGGAGCCTTCATCCATCATCTTGGTAAGTTTGCGTACTTTGGTTTCTACTCTTTGGTGTTTGATAGACATTTGTCACAGGTTTGCCGTTGCATGGTATCCAATCTACAAGGTTCCAGAGGGCCAGTTCCGCTGTGTCTTTCTAACGTACCATTCCCTGGGTCACGTCCAAGCAAGTGGATCCCTTCCGGTTCTTGGCCTCCAAACTTACCACTGCCAGGTTTGCCTGAAACATGCTCATATCGTTTCTCCAATCTTTCACAGGTCGAGCAATGGTTCACTCTCAAACAAGGGAACGAAGATTGCTCCGAGACGCTAAAGCAACGATTGACAAGCCTTGATCGTGCTGCTCTAGTCATGTCGAGAGGATCGGACCCCGTGTCTCAAAAGTTCCAGCACTCGGACTACGAGTTTTTTACAAGCCGAAAGTACTGACTCCCCTCCTGTATCCTAAGCTTACAGACACTCGCACACGTCAGTGTGTCCAAATTTTGATCGCTTTATAAAACTGGAAGTTACCTCCGTCCACCAACACAATCCTTGGTGTATTTGCTATCGAAGATAGATCGGCCTTTACATCATCTATATCCGTGGGCTGTTCTTGCGACGAGTTTTCAGTGTACGCCAGTCACCGTCTTCCCCAAAATCCAGAGCACCAGCGAGAGCTCAAGTGCGAAGAGTGTGTACAGGGATCCTCGGTCCAGCACGAAGCCGTAGACTGAAATCCCCGGGGAGTTATGTTGCAAGTATCTCACTGCGAGCAGAAGAAAGAAATATTACTCGAGAAAGTTTCAAGGCTCCAGGTACTTACGAAATGACTGCTGTTGCCTAAAGTAACACTCGTTGTCGTAATGCGAATCCTGGCTCTTCGCAGAGAACAAGTCGCAGGCCTTGATATCGGACTGTTGTCTCAGCAACGGGTAACATGGTGGAGTCGCGGTTTTGAAGGCTGGCTTGTTAAAGTCGCTTGTCATGGCGCTGCACGTCCACACCGCATGCCACTCGCTGACGAGGGAGATGAGTTTCTGGGCTCTGTGCGTGATCTTGGAGGCCCCATTCATGCAAGTCAGGATCCCGGAGAGCTGAACCGCAGAGGAAACCTGCAAAGTTCGCGCTGAAGTTAGAAAACAGAAGCTCCCAAGCGGGAGGTAAGAGCTATACTTACTGCCAGGCTGCCTGCGATGAAGAAGTGGACGCTCTCCTTGTATGACAGGATGAAGAACAGCGATATGAACTGGCTGCTGGTGATGATGAACATACTGGCAAGGATGAAGATCCGGCACCTGTGGCTGATCTTGAAGAGCTGCTTCCGGATCCTTACGTGCTCCAGCAACAGCTCTGGAACGTCGAGGCTCTTGGCCAGGAGCGTGCTGTAGCCTTGGAGGCGCAAGATTTGCAGGGAACACATGAGCCGGAAGAGCACGCACATGAGCAGGAAGACTCCGGCCTTGTAGAGCCAGGAGAGCATGACCAAGGTGCACATAACCGAGCGGAGGGCGGGGCCGTGTGGGATCCCAGGGAGCGCGACTGTGGCGCGCGAGAACCACCATATCTCCCGGACGAGCTTCACCACCATTGATGGGAGGATGATCATGGCCAGCAGCCGGAAGGCAAACTGCGAGACAACAAAGAAAGCGTAATTAGCGAACTTGGACGAATCAACGCGAACTTAAAAAACGAGAGTTTTAGCTAGATGAATAGATGACTCATATGCAAGTTTTGGATCGTCCTGGTGCACGGAAAAAGAGAAAGAAAGTAGAGAGTTCAACCTAGACTCAACAAAAACAATCTTCTAAATCGCATCCAAGTGGCAACAAGTGTCGGTTGGAGCTGAGATGATGTTTGCAATGAACGATGCAGACAAGCAAGTGCTATGCACCAGAGCAATATGTAAACGAACGAACGCAAAAGATCAAGCACACCATAAAAGATCAAAGGAAGTTCTTACGTTAACTTTGGCTCGGTAGTTCTGTTGTACCTCCTGGGACTCTCGATCCAGCTTCTCGAGCATCAAAACTTTGCGAAGGCCGTGCCGCCTGAGGAGGAAAGAGAGGCAAGCAAAGGATACGATTGCCAATGCCGACTCCGAGACGTAGACGAGCCTCTCGAATGGGAGCTGGCGGTGGTAGCATCTGGAGCACGAGGTGGCCACGCTATTGATGACCGGCAGCACGATTGCAAAGAGGAGAAAGATGATCCAGGAGAAGGCGATCCTCACCGGCGTCGATTGATCCAGCCCAATCCATAGGAGGCTTAGCCGGAAGCGCTGGAGCTCGTCGCGCGGATTGGACAGCAGGCGGCATAGCGATCGCTGGTGGTGGGCGTCCGGCGGCGAGCCGCCATTGATTTTGCCCTCTTCGAGATCCCAGGTCACCGAGCGCCGGGGGGAATCCGAGCTCGCCCGCAGCGATCGATTCTTCTCTGCCAGCAGCGCCACCGCCGCCGCGGTGAAATCGTTGTAGATGTCGTGATGCGCCATGGAACCGGAGAGGATTTCGCCAAGGAACCAGATATTTCGAGCCTTGGGTGGATCCCTTCGATCGATCGCTGTGCAATGCGGCCGGGATTTTGATGCGCGAGCTTGCCTGGAATCACGATCGAGGCGATCGAGGCGATCGCGGTGGCGCCCGGCACATGAGAATCCACATGGAGTGGCGCCTTTCTTTTAGAGTCCGCCCATGGACTCTTGTGTGCGCTGCTACAAGGGAGAACTTTTTGTTTGCGCGGAGGGAAACGCGATGGTGCCACGTGGTATGGCGATTCACCGTCGCTTTTATTCGCTGTGCTTTCTAAAGCACGGGAAAAGAGCTGGAAGAAGGTGCGAAGGCTTTGCTTTGCCCTAGAACAAAGGGGAGGGATGAGTTTTAGGGTTGGAGGGGGGATCCAGCGATTTGGATCCAGGATTGTCCATGCCAAGGACGCGATCAAGGACACATTCTTGTCAACCAAGGTAAGCGACTAGATCGATCATGGATTTGAGCTAGAGGGGGATTGAGCTAGATTTCTTCCTTGGGGCGATTTTTCTAGAATGTTTTTGAGCAACACAAGCTCGTCTTTACCATTGGGACTTCGGTTCTCTCGGCTGGGGCTGCTTGGGCAGGTGATTGATTTCTAGGATGGATGTTTGTACTGATCTCTTTGCGTTTTTAATTTTTCTTTTCTTCCTTGTTTCTAGGCTACGTGGGGCGTCAAGTTCATCAGCAACATGTAGAGAATCGGCTCAACTCCATAGAAAACGCTGTAAGTTTATCGGCATCTTGGACAATTTCCTCTCTTTTCTCGCTCAACTTGGAAGATTTCTCTTTTTCTATTCTAGATGAAATCGCAAACGGGTTTGCCAGAAGATGAAATCCTGGCAATGACGAGGAGGGGCGTGAGCTTCAAGACGTGCTTTGCCTCAGTTGGAACGGCATCAGTGATCACGTATGGTTTTCTCTAAAACGTTTTGGCTTCGGTGCTCAAAGGTGTGATCCATTCAAACAGGTACATTCTTGGCTTTAGATCCGGGAGAAAGTTCACGCTGGCCAGAATCGAGAAGCAAAAGCAGCGGCTCCTGCTAGCCACGAACAATCCCAAAGTTCCAATCTCGCAGCGGCCGATAGCTCTCAAGCTCCAGCAGAGATTGAACGCTATCAAGATGCGAACCAGCGGCTGGAGGAGGAAGAAAAGTGGTAGCAACCAGCAAAAGAGCGTCCGGGAAGAGGAAGAGCTCTATCCGGGTTGTGCATAGATAGATACATCGATAGATCGATGGGTGAGGCTACAATTTTGATGTACAGAGATTTCTAGCTAAAGATCCGAGATTTTGTGTGTCTACTCCCTCATAGATCGTCAAATTTTTCTCAACACTGCGTTTCAGACAAGGCTGAAATCTTTTTGAGTGGTAATCACAGGGAGACGATGAGATCCAAGCCATCAGAAGCAATCAATCAGCTCTTATCCTCGAGCCCGCGAGGAGCTCTCAGAGCCACTGCGCATAGAATTGTAGAGCTCATCACACGGCGGGAGCCCTAATTTCTGGCAAAATTTTAGGGCTCTTCCGAATGATAAACCCTAGGAACAGTGAAAGCGATTCGAAACCACAAACTTTCGAACCGTTCGTAGGGTTCTTACGAGTGCGTGGAATCGAAGGAATGCTAGGTAGGAAATCTCTCCCCGGCATGGAAGATCGCTGGGGCCGCTGGTGATCGGCACGCAGGGGCTTCTTCTCCTGTTTTTTTTCTGTGTCGTTTTGGTTGCTCTTCTTTCTTGATCAAAGATGGCTCTGGTAGAAGCGCGAGAAGATTGGGGAAAAACCTCCGACCTCGCATGGAGCAGCGGCGTGGCTCCCTGGTCGGTGCTCATCGCGGGCTTGCCCAGGAACTCCATGACGTCGCAGGCGCTCCAGAGCCTGGCCAGGGAGGCGGTGGGCGGATTCGAGATGGTCCCGGACGGCATGGAGCTTGTAAACTTTGCGCGGATCTTCTCTCCTCCCGGCGCCACCGCTGAGGAGGACTGCGCCGTGGTGGGCTTCTCCTGCGAGGCCGTGGCGGAGCTCTTCCTGGATTCGTGGCCCGAGCTCCAGCTCCCGCATGGCATCGAGAGCACCAAGTTGACGTTCGCGAGGAACTTCCGGTCGAGCAAGAGGGTGGATTCCAGGCAGGAGATAATGCACGACTTGGTTTGCTCGGCTCCGTCACCCCTCGAGGAGAGGTTTGTGGTTTACGTGAGTGGCTTGCCAGAGGAGTGGATCGATCAAGCGCGGCTCCGGGACTACTTTGCGCAGATCGTCAAAGAGTACCAGAGCGAGGAGGTGGTGAGGTCGGTTCACGTATCGCCGCTGCTCAAGGACGCGTATGTGGAGCTCACCAGCGACGTGACGGCGGATCTCGTGTTCTACAGGAGCAAGCGAGATAGACTTCTGGACAAGATCTCCAAGGAGGTGTTTATGTGTCGTGGAGTCGGCTCTATCCCCTTGCTCCACTGGAAGCTCCCCCGGATCAAAGCAGCAGCAGCGGAAGAAGCTAGTCTCAAAAATGGTGGCGGGAGTGAGAAGAAGGCCACCTTTCTGGACTTTCTCAAGAACCAGCCGGGTATTCCTGGAAAGGCACTGGATCTAAACGTCCCCCCGCCACTGGCAAGTAATCCCGAGATCGCGCCTCCTCCTCCTCCGGCAAGCAGTCCGAAGGCCGCACCTCCTCCTCCGGCGAGCAGTCTCGAGGAGGCACCTCCTCCGTTAAGCAATCGCGAGACCACGCATCTTCGTCCTCGTCCTGCTCTCGTTGCTGCTCCATGCGCGGGGAGAGCACTCAAGGTTGAGACCGAGAGGGACGACGCCAACTTCCAGTTCCGGGCTGCCAACTTCAACGTTGCACCCATGCAACGGCCGTGCGAGAACAATCACGATAGCGCGATGACGAACAACGATACCATGTCCGTCTGCGACTCGGAGAGCGTGGACAGTTTTCAGAGAGACCAGCGCTCCCGGAATGACAGTCTCAAGCGCAGCTCCGTCTTCGTTGGATCCCTGGCCGAGCACAACCCGACCAAGCTCAAGGAGCTCTTCCACACCCTCCTCCGGAAGAGCATGCCGCTGGTGTCGCCCGACTCCATCCGCGTACGCTGGACTCGGGGGAAGAGCTTCTGCCTGGTGGGGCTTCGATCCGAGAAGGCGGCACAGATGCTCATGGACGCATACATGGAGCACACCCGAGACGCTCACATACCGGGCTTTCCCCTGGCGATCTACAGGCACCGGGGATACCAGCGGCCTGGGACGGAGGTTTGCAGTGATTTCTCCGTGGACGAGTCCGGCTTGGTGCTCGTCCAGGGGCTCCCCCCGCGTTTACACGCGTGCCTGGTCCAGGGAGCTCTCACCGAGCTGCTGGAGACGGCGCTGGCTGGCGCCAAGAAGTTCCACTCCAACATGGCCCGGAATTTCTTTTCCTACTTCAGGTATGATCCGATGTTTGGGACCGCCAGGGTGAGATTCAAGTCCCGCGTCGCTTGCGAGCACTTGCTGACGCTCAAGAACTGCCGGCTGGAGCTCGCGGGTGGCGTCATAAGCTTGGAGCGCGAAGCGTCGCCTCCAGGGTTTGGCGATCACTTGGACCAGGATTTCATGGACGGGAACTGGAAGCGCAAGAGGCCGTTTAGCGCAGAACATAGCCACGCCAAGCAAGCTAGACAAAGCTACTACTGAGGTGAGCACCACAGGTTCTATACACGAAAGCAAAGTCTTTCCCCATTTTTATTAGCTAGTACACTTGTTATGACTTCTTTTATATTTATCTAAGCCACCTGCAGGAGAGAAAATCCCTCCTCGCCATCCTTGAACCACACCGTCACCAACTTAAGCCTTTATGACCCAAAACTTGTTGTTCTCCACTGGTTGCATTGTTCTTTCGCTTTATTCTAGCCGCCTTTTCTGTTTCCATTTGATTTTCTTTATAGATGCATAACAACAACGCCAGGTTGTTCTCGGTCATGTATGCTTGTGTATCGATCTATCTTGTAAGAAAGAAAATCAATAGCTAAATAAGTCAAAGTTTTTTTTTTTGTGTGTGTTTATTCTGATCAACTAAATTATCAATCGATCAGATAGCCACTGGACTATCTCCTTTAGTATTGACCACCACATGCTTGTGAGGGGACCTTCCTCGCTGTCACTATAATTTGGATTGTTTTGGAGAAGAACAGAATCTTGTTCAGCTACTCTTGCCTGGAGAGCCGCCTTAGTTTCTTGCAGCAATTCCTGCCTCCTTCTCATGCTTTCTATTTTCCCTCATTGTCGTGAGCTCTGCTTTTTTTTTTAATTTCCTTCAAATGTTTGAGCTCGCAGTAAAATGGGGTTCCCATTAAGGTAGCAAGGAAAGCTATGGACAAAGTTCTCACAGCTGAGAACATCCTTGCAGGCTGGACAATAACAAGTTTATTTCTTATTAGTTCAACTTCTATGGTGGATCACTGTAAGCCACAGAGTGAAGATAACTTAAAGCCATTTCTGAATGCTACTGTTGGAGGGAAATGGACATGGACCTCAACCACATTTCAATGTCAATAACAGATTTACTACTCATCTCACTATGCTTTCAATTTGCAAATCAGGAACCAACACCACAAATGATGTGTTTCAACCATTTTTCCATCTGTGCATGTCATCCTTCTGCAAATCTGCAAATTATTGTTCCAATTTTATCTGGTGTCTCCAAAGAAATATATTTTTTAATGGAGCTGAAAAAAGAAAGAGGAAATACAAATTATGAAAGTTTATAATATGGTCAAATGCTCCATACCTTGTAGCAACTACCGATTTAGGTAAATTTATTTTAGATTTTTTAATTTTGTAAAAGTAATTATGAACAATAACAAAAATGTCAAATGTTTTAATTATTTTAAAGAGTGTGTAGCTACATTTAAGGTTGTATAAATTATTTTTAAAATGAAAATTTTTCATTTTATTTTTCAAAAATTTGATTATTTTTGAGTTTGAATCTTATAAAAAAGTGATTGTAAAGGAGGTGACTATGTTATGGTATTTCATTTTTTGGTATTGTGAGGGCCAAGTATATAGCATTGTAGCTGTACACTTGGCCCTCCAAGCACTCATAATACATGTTATCATATTTAACCCATAAATACACTAAACTGTATTAATAATAAGTGAGAAGTGGTTCAACTGTAGTTTGTGTAAAGTATGAAATAACAATTTATCAAATCCTAAATATTTAG